CCCCCCCCCCCCCCTCTCTCTTATTAGTCGTCCTCCCCCCTCCCTCATAGCAGAAGACGGATTGTCTCCTTGTCCGACTCTGCTTTTCTTTTTTCTTTTTCTTTTTTTAAATAATCATAACAATATCAACCTATTCAATATCGTCTCGAATCCGGCGAAACAGGAGAAGAGTTGTTGTTATATAATACAACAACCACGCTCGAGCACTCACACATACTACACCACAACACCACGACCGTCTCTCTTCTCGCATATAACCGAGGACGAAAAGGATCAAACGTGGTCTTGACAGACCGTTCCTCTCCAAGCCTCGCTTGTCTATCCTATATATATATACATATATATATCTATATATACATATACATATATGTATATGTATATACCTATGTATATATATATATGTATGTATATATAGAAAGGTATCTCACAAGCAGCAGCAACAACAACAACAACAACAACAACAACGTCGACAAGACCAGCAATGGGGTCGCATAACCTCTCCTCGCCACCGGCGGAGGAGATCAAGTCGGCGATGCAGCGCAAAAGCTCGTCGGGAGCAGTCAGCAAGTCCTCTTCCTCGTCTTCGTCGTCGACAAAGCACGCCCATCACCGCATCACCAAGCGCGCCGGCTCGACCCCCCACGCCGCCTCCGCCGCCCACTCACACCACTCCCACCACGCCCACGATGGCATGGACGGGAGGCATAAGCGTGTATGGAAGGCATGTGAACGCTGTCGGATGAAGAAGACCAAGGTTTGTCTCTCCTCCCGACCTCTTCTCCCTCTCCCTCCCCCTCTCTCTCATATCTATCCGCTTATGGCATATGCGACTGACGCGAGACCAAAACAAAAAAACAGTGCGACGGTGAATTTCCGTGCAAACGCTGCAAGGATGACGGCCTGGTGTGCACGGCCGGCGTCCGCAAGAAGATGGAGTACAAGCAGCTACCAAAGGGGTACGCCGAGGTTCTGGAGAACACGCAGCTGGCGCTGATCGCCACCGTCCACAAGCTGTACTCCATGGTGCGCAGCTCTCAGCCGTGGGACCTGGGCGAGCCCGAGCTCAACGACAGGGGACAGCCAATCATCCACAACATCGCCCAGAAGCTAGGCTGCATCCGACCAAACTCCGACATCGACCTTCCCGTGCACTCCGTCTTTCCCGAGGACGAGGGCGGCATGCGCGAGCTGGCCCTGCAGCTGGAGGAGCAGCAGCGGCTCGAGGACGGCAACGGCGGCAGCGGCGGCCCTGCAGCCGCCGCCGCCGCCGCCGCCGCCGCCGCCGCCACCCCCGACAACGCCGTCGTCCTTCCCGCCACGGTCGACGACAGCGACATGAACGACTGTCCCGTCAGCACGACGACGGCTACTACGGCGACATTCCCCACCATCGGCCGGCAGCAGCAGCAGCAGCAGCAGCAGCAGCAGCAGGCCCGCACCTCCGAATCATCCTCCTCCGATCTAGATCACTCCGACTTCGAACAGCTCCAGCATGATTACCGAGCCATGGCGTTTGGCGGCGGCGGCGGCGGCAGCAGCAGCATGTCCCCCCAGAGCTTCACCACCAGCAACACCGACTTCGACCTCTCCCCGCACGACTCGGTCGACCCGTCCGTCATGTTCCCCCCCATCGGCACACCCTCGTTATCGCACAAGCAGCTCCAGCTCCAGCAGCAGCAGCAGCAACGACAGCAGTCCGTCATGACGGAATACTGGCAGCAGCAGCAGCAGCATCAGCAGCAGCATCAGCATCAGCAGCAGCAGCAGCAGAGCCACCAGCACCACAGCCAGCACCACAGCCACCACAGCCACCACCAACATCAGCAGCCACTCCAGCGGCCGCAGCCGGAAGGGAATTCAGCCGCGGTGGCGGTGGCCACGGGGGCGGGGTCGGGGGCGGTACCGAAGCAGCACGACGAGACCCTGGACCCCATCACCATCCAGCATATACTCCAACATCAGGCCATGCTGAGCGGGCTCGACATGCTCGGACCCGATCTGCAGAACCGTCTGATGCACCAGGGCCTGGTCGAGTCGGAGTTTGGTACGCTGAAGCCCCATGTCCTGTCCGGCGCGAACTCGGAGGTCATGATGGGCATGGGTGATCCCATGATCTTTGCGGGGGCGGCATACGATGGGGAACTTTGAGAAGGGCGCAGAGAAGCTCCTCTCCACCTTCTCCTCTTCTTCTCTCTTCTTCTTCTCTCTACGCTCTTCTCTCTCTCTCTCTCTCTCTCTTCCTTCAAAACATTGGCGAACTTTTCCCTCTCATCTTCCACGACGACCGTGTATTCCTTCTCTGCTGGGGATATTCTCATGTTTCATACATTTCACATCAATCTTCATCTATATTTTTTTGAAAAAAAAAATCTGGTTTCTTTACTCCTTTTTTTTTTGACCGATATCAACGATAAACAAAAAACCGCTACTTGGATGTTTTTCTTTTTTTTTTTTTTACAACACATATCGGC